GGCTGTTTCCACTTATTGGCTCAACAGCATCATGCTGCGAAGAACAGATATTTAAGGTATTGATGAACTCTGTGTGTGTGTGTGTGTGTGTGTGTGTGTGTGTGTGTGTGTGTGTGAAGGGTCTCTCAGTGGCACAAGTGGTTGAGTTCACGACTCCTTGCTGACAGGTTGGCGGTTTGAACTCACCCAAAGATGCCTTGAAACACCCAGTGATCCGGAGCCAAAATGTAAGAACTTTGACAATCCAGGGAAGCGACCAACCCTATTGTCCCCACATGCGATCACCCGAGTCCAAACCAACTCAATGGCAACTGACAACACCTGAGCTTCAAGGACCTCACCTGATTTATTTCCAGCCAGCACCTGGAGAGGAGATGGTTTTGGCATGGCGCTCAAGTGTGAAGAAGAGGAGACTGTTTTAGCATGACGCTCAAGCATGAAGGCCTAGACTCCCATTGCCTGGGTTCAAAGTCCAGTTTCACCACGGGGCAACCTTTGGGAAGTGATTCAGCCGCTCTGTGCCAGTTGTTCTTCTCTGTGCCAACTGTGCTTCCTTTAGATGGTTCCAGTGAGGATTGTGTATATGAAATGTGACAGCAAATATTAGGCACCTGTCTAGTGCTTAGAAAAGATGCCCCCTATGAGATATCATCTTACCCCAGTAACAATATCAAAATGCAACAGAGCAGCAAACAACAAATGCTGGCGAGGTTGTGAGAAACTGGAACCCTTAATTCACTGTGGGTGGGAGTGTAAAATGGTACAACCGCTGTGGAAGACAGTAAGGTGCTTTCTCAAAAAGTTGGAAATAGAAATACCATTTGACCCAGCAATTTCACTACTGGGAATATACCCTAAAGAAATCAGAACTGCCACTCAAGAAGATATATGCACACTCATGTTTATTGCTGCATTGTTTACAATAGCAAAGAGATGAAAACAACAAGTGCCCATCAACAAACGAATGGATAGAGAAGCTGTTATAGTCACACAATGGAATACTACGCTGCATTGAAAAACAAGGAACTCATGAAATATTATACAGAATGGATGGTCATGGAGGGCATTATACTGAGTAAAATATCTCAGTCACAAAAGGACAAATGCTGCATAGTGCCACTGTTGTAAAACAGGACTGACATAGGGGTTGGGGGGAAACTAAGAGGGGATAAATAATGTACATGGCATTGAAACATATGAGGAATAGAACTACTTAAGAGAAATGTATGATTGGGTATTATTTACATGACAACCATCCAGAATAAGAGCTGCATTGAAAAGTGGACTGTGGGGGGGGGTATTGTACAACAATGAAATAATTTTTTTCAATGAGAAAAGCGAACTGGAGGGGGGAACAGGGAGGGAAACGTGCAACAATGAATGAAATCCAGGTTATCTATAAACTTTTATTAAAAATCTCAATTTTAAAAGAAGACAGAAAAGGTGCTCCCAAAATACAAAGCAAAATTGAATAAGAAGCCCAGGTAACAGAGTGCATTGTAAAGAGTTGCTAACCAAAAGGTCACTGGTTTGAGTCCACTCAGTTCCCCATGGGAGAAAGAAGACTAGTCTCCTCCTGTAAAGCTTTACAGCCTTCAAAACCTGAGTGACTCAACAGCAGTGGTTTGGGTTTTTTTCCCGTTTGTCATTATTGTTATTATGTGCAGTCGAGTCAGAACCAACTGAAAGCATACCCTCCCGTGGATTTTTCAGTGGTTACAATATAAATCTCATGAGAGAAATTGCCCGTCTTCCTCCCATGGAGCACCTGATAGATTCGAACAGATTGACCCACCGACGGCAGCCATGGGACAGAGTATGTCAGGGATTGGGAGGATGGCACAGGATAGGACAGGGTTCAGATCTGTTGTTCCTCGGATAGCTGTGGGTTATACTCAGTATGACAGCACTTAGCAGCAGCAACAACAACAACGTTTGAGTTGACAGCACAACTCCTTAGTTTTTAGGGCTTGGTAACTCAGAAGTCTCTCGCTGCCGCTGATTAAGAACCAGCACGAGGCTGACTCTCCCGTGCATTTCCGAAGCTATAAATTGCATGGGAGGAGATTGCCCATCCTTCTCCTGAGGGGCCTTTGGTGGATTCAAACTGACAGAAGGTTTGGCCTTTGACACAACTCCTTATGACTAGGCCACTAGTGATTTCTGTGCTTAGTAAACAATAACAGACAACTCATAGCTGAGCCTCAAGCAGGTTAACCAGAGGCTGTAAATTTTGCATGGGAAGAGATCGTCTTTCTCCCTCTGAACAAGTGAATTCAAACCTCCTGCCTGTATTTGACAGGGTGACTTCTTACCCACATGGCCACCCCTGTTATTACAGTCAGATTCCTCCTCTAGTGCTCTCTTGTTCTTGGAACAGAACACACTTCAGCTATAAATGACCCAACTCCATTAGCTTGGGCCTCCCAGCTTCTCAGCAAATCTTGTAGCCAGAGACTCTTGGTGAAGTCAAAGGATCTGATCACAGAGCAGAAGCAGACAGACAGACATCAACATTTTCCTGGAGGCTCCAGGCTGCAGTCAGTGTCCAAATTCTCTTGGTTAAAGAAAGCCACTAAATGTCGAGACATGTGAATTATTGAAATGAGTAACTCAGCTCCTTGGCAGGGCCAGGACCACATCAGTGCACACAGGACCTTGAGCCATTGAGCGTGTGACCTGTACTCCCTCTGCTATATTTTTAGCCGCTTATGTGCTGTTTCCATCACCTGTGCTGAGTTTTAAACTGGAAACGAGCAGGGGGAAGGCTGGGGGGAGGCAGCAGGGTTGCTTCTCATAGCGGCCTGTGGGGGCAGGGGTTTGCACATTCCTTATTTCTGAATTCTGTCATATTTAGGGACAGCTTCTGGGGCTGGTCACTCAGCCCCCCAACGCACAGAAGGACTCCACGTGTGGTTTAAAGCTCTGAACAGTCTACAACAAGGGGCTGCAGATGTTCATTTTGCATCGGACTCTGCAGATTTTACAGCCAACTCTGCTTTGTGCCCAATGTGGGAGAGAGCCAAATGATGACGGGGTGACGTCTTGCTGGGGAATCGAAAGAAAAAAACAACTTTTCAAACCCGCTGCAGTCTGGTTGGTTCTGACTCACAAACTACAACAGAGCAGAACCGCCCCATAGGGGTTTCTGAGGCTGCCATCTTTACAGAAGACGAAGGCCACATTGCGATTGAATTTTTCATTAAGCAGTAGAGTCCTTTGATTACTGCCATCTCTCTCTCTGTCACTCTTTCTCTCTCTTGTTGAGTCAGAACCAATTCATAGCTGATCTTCCAAAGGTCTTCCAGGGCTGTAAATCTCACAGGAGGAGACTGCCCATCTTTCTCCCTAGTGGCTCCAAACTGACAGAGAAGCACCCTCTTTGGGTTTGCAGCTCATCTTCCTACATATGCCACCAGGGCTCTCTATACTCTGCCACCAGTCCAGACCACTATGAGGTGTAGATGTGGTCTGCAAGGGGGGCCTGGAGGGCAAGGGCCCAGACTTTGTGAAAGACACCTTGTGTCAAATCTTTGCTCTGTTTCTCTCTGAAACTGGGGTGAGATGGGGGAAGCTCTGTAAGGTGTAGAGAACTGTATTCTGCTCTTTTAGGGCCTTTTTGGTTGTTGTTGTGTACTGTCGAGTTGGAACCGATCCATAGTTGTCCCTCCAGCCAGTTTTTCAAAGGAGATTGCCCATCTTTCTTCTGTGGAGCAATTTGTGGATTTGAACTGCATACTTTTGCGGTGGCAATGCAATTTCTTACCCCTAAGACCACCAGTGCTCCCTAAAGCCTTTTCAGAGTACACTATGTAACCGGTCTTCATCAATACACTTTTCTTGTCTTTGGAGACTTTTTTGCACTCTACATTTTCATCTTTTTTCATGTTGCTTGCCCACCTTTCTCCTCCTGCCCTCTAGAATGTTCACTCTACTATCTTCTCATGAAGAAGGGATGAGCTAGTATTTTTTTGAGGGACATGGGTGGGCAAGGTTTAGGGAGCCCTGGTACTGTCATCTGCAGCAAGTTGCAGGACTAGTCCAAAGGCTTGGTGCCTCTGAAGTTCAAATCCCCCAGCAACTCCTTGGGTCTTCATGATTTACAGCCTCAAAACATGGATGGAGGGTCACTATGGGTTGGAAAAGGCTAGAGAACGGTGAGTGAGTGTGGGGGCAGGGCTAGCCTTGGTGGCAGTTGTGTCCTTAGCACTTACTATGCACCTCATTGAATAATTGTTGAACGAAGGGGGCGGGGCGGGGGGGCGGAACAGTTGCTGGGGTGCTTCCCCCCTGCCAGTGATTCTATGTATGTCAGGGGTTAACTATATTTGATAGTGATTTCAATGGCTGGTTTTCAGACCCTTCTCCCACTTCCTAACTTCCAACCTATTATTAACAATTGTGAACCATTTACACCAAGCAAGGACCCTGGGATGAAGAAAAGGGGTCATTTTCACTGAGTGCTTATTTGTGCCGATGGCTTCATCTTCACTTTGTTTCAAAGTGCTCCTGCCATGAGAAGTTCTGAGACCTGCCATTGGAGTGGGCTCTGGGGGCAGTTGCTATGTGCCTGACGGACTATACCTGGCCCTCCAGTGGTTTTCACAGGCAGTAGATCGCATCAGAGGAGATGGCTCATCTTTCTCCTAAGGAATAACTTGGTGGATTTGAACCTCAAGCCTCTAGGTAGGCAGCGTAGCTCCTAACCAGGACCTGAACAGGTGGAAAGCAGAACAAGGCGAAATCAGAGTGGGTGAGCAAGACCCAGCTGCGGTGAGTAGAGGGTGTCCACCGGCTTGAAGCTGAAGCGTCCATGTCGGTGCGGGCGGAGGGCTGTCTCTGTACTCTGACACCGAGCCCAGCGGATTCTCGAACTGAGCAGTGACAAAAGGAAACAATGACTGAACAAGATTTTTCTTGCCACGACGCTGGCCCGTGTGGGTGGAGAGGGAGAGGGGTTGAGAGGCCTCCTGGGAGGTAGCTGCGCTCCCACCCCTCACCCTGAGTTGGGGTGGGATGGAAGGGGCGTGGCTAGGGAAGGAGAGGCTCTCGAAGGGGGATGAGGAGGTGGCTCCCGAGGGGCAGGGGAGGCAGGGTGTTGCCCAGGGCGAGCCAGGGTGCTCCTGGCCCCGGATCCAGACCTGCTCTGCGCGCGGCGAGTCGCCACACGAGGCCAGACGCTGCCGCCGCCTCCCCGGGCGCAGGCCCGCACTTGCAGGCCGGGGACTCGGCGCATGAAAGTGCCCGGCGCGCCGCCCGGACCTGCCCAGCTGGGCGTCACCGCCGCGCCTTAGGCTGGAGCAGGAAGATCCTCGCTGCCTCGGGGGTTGCAGGGAGGGGAGGCCCAGGATCCAATCCTGACTATCGACCCCAGGTGGAGCGCGGGGGTGGAGTGGTTTGGGGAGAAAAGGTGTATTTAGCACGTGGGCCACGAGTTGGAGCAAGTCACGCGCAAAGCCCGTGTTCCAGTATCGGAGATAAGGAACTCGCTCGTTACCTTCAAGTCATTCACGGCCCTGTTCTTTCCGCAATTCTCTCATTTTGCTCCGATCTTATGTAATCCTATGAAGCCTTATTATTATCCCCCCGCCCTCCCCTTTACAGGTGATTGAGGCTCAGAGAAATAAAGGAAACATGCACCAGTTGATACAGCCAGTGCGACAGGAGAGAACTGGGGGTTTGTGGCTGAAAAAAAAAAAATGCACGAAAAAAGGCACACAACTGGTTCTCAGTTCCTAGGACATCAGACACAGTGCGAGTTTCCAGGAGATGCTTCTTTGGTACAGCCGCCAGGGGAAGGAAGTAGGGCATCGCCTTCTTCGCTTTGATGGGGTTTCCATTTTTCCTGCCCGGGGTTCTCGCAGATGACCGATTGGTCTCTGAACCTGAGCAGGTTTTATTTCTTTTTAAAAAAACCGCTCTGACGGGTCAAGCAGGGAAACGCGGTCTGCAAACTACTCTCCTGATTATTATTGCTGTGGTTGAGTCCGCGTGTGTGGGACACAGCCCGAGTGAGGGTAGAGCAGGGGTCACCGGGCGCTTTGCCCACTCCAACCCAGCCAAACCTCCGCGTGGGGACCTGGAGGAGGACCCCCCAACTCCGCCCTCACCTGCCGAGCCCGCCCACGGAGCGGACCAATGGGACGCGCTGCAGGGCGGGCCCAGGTGCGGACGTGGGCGGTGCCCGGCCGTGAGTGGCAGGCGTGCCGCGCCAGTGGGCGTTCCGAGCATGCGCAGTGAAGTCCTCCCGCAGGCCTGGCGGCGGAG